CAAATATGACCAACTGCTTTTTGTGGGATTTTTTTTTTTTTCAGAGCTCATAATCAATTGTGATGGTTAATAGATGTGGGATTTTTTTTAAGCATAAAACAGCCTTTATTATAATGGCTGATGTAAACAAAATATGATCATTAAAATAATTTTTAAAGTTTAATTTACCTTTTAATTCCAGTATAGTTAAATACAGTGTTACATTAGTTTCAGACGTATAGTATAGTGATTCGACGATTCTACACATTACTCGGTGCTCATCATGATAACTGTACTCTTAGTCCCCATGACCTGTTTCACATATCCCCCTCCCACTTGCCCTATGGTAACCATCAGTTTGTTCTCTATAGTTAAGAGTCTGCTTTTTTGGTACATCTCGTTCTCTTTGTTTAATTATATTATTTCTTAAATTCCACATACGAGTGACATCATATGGCATTTGCCTTTCTCTGACTTATTTCACTTAGCATTATATCCCCTAGATCTATGCATATGTTTGCATATGACAAGATTTCATTCTTATTTTTATGGTTGAGTAATATTCCATTATATATACATGCATCTTCTTTGCCCATTCATCTATCAGTGGACACGTGGGTTGTTTCCATGTCTTGACTATTGTAGATAATACGTATATCCTTTTAAAGATTTTATTTATTTATTTATTTATTTATTTATTTATTTATTTATTTATTTATTTATTTTAGAGAGAGAGAGAGCACAAGTGGGCAGAGGGAGAGGGAAAAATAGACTGCCTGCTGAGCAGGGACTAGAGCTGAAGGCAGACAGTTAACTGACTGAGCTACCCAGCACCCCACATATATCTTTTTCTTTCTTTCTTTTTCTTCTTCTTTTTTTTTTTTGCATATATCTTTTTGAAGTAGTGTTTTCATTTTCTTTGGGTAAATACCCAGTAGTGGAATTACTGGATCTTAGGGTAATTTTTTTTTTTTTGAGTTTTTGAGGAACCTCCATAACTATTTTCTACAGTGGTTGCACCAGTTTGAATTCCCACCAACAGTGCAAGAGGGTTCCTTTTTCTCCACATCCTTACCAACACTTGTTGTTTCTTGTGTTTTTTGTTATTAGTCATTCTGACAGATGTTAGGTGATACCTCATTGTGGTTTTGATGTGCATTTCCCTCATGATTAGTGATGTTGAGCATGTTTTCATGTGTTTGTCGGCAATCTGCATGTCTTCTTTAGAAAAATGTCTGTTCATGTCTTCTGCTCATGTTTAATTGGATTATGTGTGTTTTTCTTGTGTTGTGTAAGTTCTTCATATATTTTGGGTATTTACTGCTTATTGGATATATAATTTGCAATTATCTTCTCCCATTCAGAGGTTTTTTTGTTTTGTTGGTGGTTTCTTGACTGTGAAAAATCTTTTTATTTGGGTATAGTCTCAATAGTTTATTTTTGCTTTTGTTTCCCTTGCCTCAGGAGACATAGCTACGAAAATGTTTTTACAGCCAATGTCAAAGGGATTACTGCCTATGTTTTCTTCTAGGAATTTTATGGTTTCAAGTCTCACATTTAGGTATTTAATATACTTTGAGTTTATTTTTGTGTATGGTGTAAGAAAGTGGTGCAGTATCATTCTTTTGCATGTAGTTGTGCAGTTTTCCCAACACCATTTGTTGAAGAGACTTTTTCTCATCGCATGTTCTTGCCTCCTTTGTTATAGATTGTCCACATAACCATGGATTTATTTCTAGGTTTTCTATTCTATTCATCTAACATATCTATTTTTGTGCCAGTACCATACTGGTTTGATTACTACAGCTTCATAGTATATCTTGAAATCTGAGATTGTAATACTTCCAGTTTTGTTCTTCTTTTTCAAGATTGCTTTGGCTATTTGGGATCTTTTGTAGTTTCATACAAAGTTAAGGATTATTTGTTCTAGTTCTGTGAAAAATTTGATAGGGGTTTATGCCCAACTGTTTTTTGACAAAGGTATAAAGGCAATTCAATGGAGGAAACATAGACTTTTGAACAAATGGTGCTGGAGAAAAGCAAAACCAAAAAATCATGACCAAAGTTTCAAAACATAGAGAAAAATGTGGGAGAAACTCCTCGGAATCTAGGACTGGCCAAAGACTTCTTAGGATAAAGGCATGATCCATGAAAGGAATAGTAGATAAACTGGACTTTATCACAATTACAAACATTTGCTCTTCAAGAAACCTTGTTAAGAGGATGAAAATACAAGCAATAGAGTGGAAGAAACTATGTATAACAATGTGTCTGACAAAGGACAATTACTTAAAATACTTAAAGAATTCTAAAGACTGAACATTAAAACAACACAATTAGAAAACAGGAAAAATACATGAACAGATATTTTACTGAAGAGGATATTTAGATTGAAAATAAGCACATGAAAAATATTCAACATCATTAGCCATTAGGGAAATACAAATTAAAGTCACAACAAAATACTACTACTAGAATGTATAAAATAAAAAATAGTGACAATGCCAAATGCTGGCAAGGATGCAGAGACATTAGATCATTCATAGATATATTGCTGGTGGGAATGTAAAATGGGACTACTCTGGAGAGTTTAGCAGTCTTTAAAAAAAAAAAAACTAAACATGCAAGCACCGTATGAACCAGCAATTGTATACTCTTTGGCATTTATTCCTGATAAATGAAAACTTATGCTCATGTAGAAAAAAGCCAGTGTACAAATATTTGTAGCAGTTTGATTCAAAATATCTGAAAACTGGAAATAACTTATTCTTCAGTGGGAGAATGGATAAACAAAATGTGTTACATCCTTACCATGGAAAACGATTCATCAATAAAAAGAAATGAACTGTTGTTACATGCAACAACCTGGATGAGTCTCCAGAAAATTATGTTGAGGAAAAAAAAATTCCAAAAGTTTACACGTTGTGTCATTCCATTTATAGAACACAGATTCGTGTTTGCCAGGAGTTAAATAGTAGTGTAGATATAAAAGAAGAACACGAGGGATACTTGTGATGGAAAGGTTCTGTATCCTGAATGTAGTAATGAAAATATTCTAATTGTGACACTGGCAAGACATCATCATTGGGGAAAACTGGGTAAAATGTATACAAGAGTATTCCTCATAACTGCATATGAGTCTACAATTTTCTCAAAATAAAAAAATTAATTGAGGGCAGCCCCGGTGGCGAAGCAGTTTAGCGCTGCCTGCAGCCCAGGGCGTGATCCTGGAGACCCTGGATGGAGTCCCACATCGGGCCTCTCTGCATGGAGCCTGCTTCTCCCTCTGCCTGTGTCTCTGCCTCTCTCTCTCTCTCTCTCTCTCTCTGTGTGTCTCTATGAATAAATAAATAAAATCTTTAAAAAAATAAAAAAAGAGAAAAAAAATTAATTGAAATATCACCTTTCTCTCTTACAGCTCCCCACCATAAACTGGTTTCTCTCTTGTCTGAACCCTGACTGATGCAATAATCTTCATCAGACTGGGAAATTTCCCTTCTTTTCCTAGATTGCCCCAGTTTGCTGGGAGTTTTAGCCAGAGTAGGTGTTGATTTTTGCCAAATGGTTTTTTTTGCAAATACTGAAAATAATCATATGGTTTTTTGAATTATATTATTGGATTTCATAATGTTAAACCAACCTTGCATTCCTGGGATAAACATTACTTCATCATGATGTGTTAATCCTTTTATACATTGCTGGATTCATTTTACTAATGTCTGCTTACGATTTTTATGTTTATATTAGGAAATCTCTTTCAGATACCTAAGTGAGCAATGTTATCAGTTTCTAAAAATAAAAAAAAAGACCTAAGTGAAAATAGTAAAATTTGACAATGCTGGATAGCGGGTAACAATAATTTGCTGTTACATTATTATCTACACTTTCCCGCTTTCTTATTTTTGTTTTGCTTGCTTTCTTTTTAGTTGAACAATTCTTGCCTGTAGCTTGGAAGATAGATTCAGAAGGCAGACTGAGGACATAATAACGGGGTTCTTTATGCTATTAGGAATACAGGGGTGGGACAGCCTTATGTATCCTCTTCTTGTTGGTATTCAGTGAAAGTTTACTGAACGAATTCAGATTTATTTGAATGACAATCCAATACAACATAATGGATACTGTGGTCCAGATCCAGCTTCTGGACCTAGCCAGTCATTCCCCCAACTTCTGGGAGTAGGCTGCTTATGGCTCATAATTCTCTGGGAATTGTCTCCTATAGAAGGATGCAGCCTTCCTGAAAGTTACAGATAGAGCCTCTATCACCGCTCAATGATATGATATAAACTTCTGGCGCCAGTTCTTTAATTTGGAACAATTCTTAAAGGTCATCTCAGGCTCAGAGCATCCTTTGAGATAGGCTGAGGCCTCTGCAGAGATTTGTTTCAGTTTGATTTCTCCCTCTGGGAATCCTGTTTCCATCACTCTCTTACAGCTCCCCACCATAAACTTTTTAAGATTTTATTTATTCATTAGAGAGAGAGAGAGAGAGACAGACAGACAGAGGCAGAGACACAGGCAGAGGGAGAAACAGGCTCCATGTCGGGAGCCCGACGTGGGACTCGATCCCGCGACTCCAGGATCACGCCCTGGGCCAAAGGCAGGCGCTAAACTGCTGAGCCACCCAAGTGTCCCTCCCACCATAAACTTTCTGCACGTTCGCCTCCTTTTCATAGTTTCCTCTTCAGGTAACTACCCAGGGCACACATTATCCTATTTCGCATTCTTTTCCTCGCAGTTATTAGTATGTGAAATAACCTTATTTATTTAATGCTCGAATACTTGCGTATTGTCTGCTGCAAGGCTGTCAGCTTCCCAGGAAAGACTTTTTCCCCATATACTGTGCACCACAGTATCAAGCGCCTACTGGCTGTTGGAATGAATGGGAGAGACGCACCTGATACTAGGTCTAGGGCTCACAGCTCTCCGCAGCCCGCGACCAGCGCTAAGAGCGGCGGCTGAGGACGCGCCTCCGAGTCCCCGCCCCTCCTGCCCCGCCGCCAGCCAGGCAGGGGCGGAACCTCGCCGACGCCCCGGCTGACGCCATGCGGCCACCCGCGGTACGGCTGGTGCGGCGAAGCCGGGTGCCCTACGCCGAGCTCCTGGCCCTACAGGAGCGCTGGTTGCGGCGGCTGCAGGCCGCGCCAGGCCCTGAGGCCCCGTCCGGGGCTGAGGCGGGCGCACTGCTGCTCTGCGAGCCCGCGGGGCCCGTGTACACGTCCGGGCTGCGTGGCGGCCTGACGCCGGAGGAGATGGCGCGGCTGCGGGCCTTGGGCGCCGAGGTACGCGCCACGGGACGCGGTGGCCTGGCCACTTTCCACGGCCCGGGCCAGCTGCTCTGCCACCCGGTGCTAGACCTGCGGCGCCTGGGCCTGCGCCTGCGCACCCACGTAGCGGCGCTGGAGGCGTGCGCAGTGCGCCTGTGCGAGTCCCAGGGCTTGCAAGGCGCCCGCGCGCGGGCCCCGCCCTACACGGGTGTCTGGCTCGGGGAACGCAAGGTCTGCGCGATCGGTTAGTGCCGGGGGCCCGGGGGCCGGGGGGCGGGGCCGGGGGGCGGGGGGGCGGGGCCGGGGCGGGGCTTAGCGGGAGGAAGTCTGTCTCGCGCGGGCTTTGAATCAGAGCTACCCGCTGGTTTGAGGTCTGAAGCCTTCTCACTGATCTCTTAAACATTCACAGCCCTCAGGAGGGCTCTCGGTGGTCATCTCATCCAACATTCATCTTTTCGAGAAGTGAATTGCCAGGTTATTCCTAATTAATCACAATGTCTAGACAATAATGGAACTTAGTAATTTTCAAACTTTTTTTTTACTTTTTTTTTTTTTTAAAGCAACAGAATCTCTGTTAAAAGACATTTTCTGGAATCTCTATAATGCAGCAGCTCTAGTGTCACACACCCCTCCCCAGTCATGTCCCCCTCCCCCGATCTGTGCACGACCCCTTCCTTGGGTGCTCAAAAACAAAGCGGGAAAGCCAGTGATGGAGTCCGGTTCCTTCATCACACTGAGGGGGATGGTGAAGCCCGAGGAGGGAGGTTACCTACTCTGAGACCCTTTGGCTTGTCTTGCAGGAGTCCGCTGTGGAAGACACATCACGTCCCACGGCCTGGCTCTGAACTGTTCTACAGACCTTGGGTGGTTTGAGCACATTGTCCCCTGCGGGCTGGTTGGGACAGGTGTCACCTCTCTGAGTGAGGAGCTCCGAAGGCATGTCACTGTGGATGAAGTAATACCACCTTTCCTTCAGGCTTTTAAAGAGACCTACAAATGCACATTGATCTCAGAGGACAGCCCCAACTGAAGAGTGTTCATGTTATCACTGCTGGGAGATCCTGCTTGAAAAGCATCAAGTCTAACTTGGAGTCACTGAAACCCAAATTCTAGACCTGGCCCTGTTATTCACTTACCATGAGACTATGAGCAAAGCATACATGTTTCCATATGTATGCTAGTTTATTTATATCTTCCCACCTACCTCCAATATGGTGGATTTGAAAACATGAAAAGCAACACATGCTATATAAATGTAAGACATTAACACTACTGTCTGCACCATTTTCTCAGCTTAGAAAAACTCAGATATAGAGAATCAGTTCTCAAATGTTTATTACTTCCTAAATACTATATTTAATTGGGCAATTCTGGGCTCCAGTTCCTTTGGTTTTTGGAGGAATCATATTTCTATATGTGAAGGTGATATGGTGGGGTGCTTTCTGCAATAAAAGGAAAAGGGAAAGAAATCTTTAAAGAATAAAAATGAGATCTTGACTTCCTGGGTTGGATTGGCAAGCCTGATTGCTTTTTTCGGTTAGGTAACTTGAGCTAGACCAGAGGCCAGGAAAAGACAAGAATAATTTCTCACATTGTACAAATGCAAAAGGTAGAAGTAAGTTTTCCTTAAATGAGATCTCTAAGTTTATAAGGCTATGTAATTATTATATATTAATTATTTATTGTCATGTAACAAATCACCCCACAACTTAATAGCTTAGAACAATAAACATTATCTCATACATATTCTGTGGGTCAGGAATTTGGGAAGCTTACCTGGGTGATTCTGGGTTGAGATCTCTCATGAGGTGTAGTCAAGATGTCAGCTGGATCAGCTGTTATCTGAAGGTTTGGGAATGGAAGATTGGTTTCCAAGATGGTTGATTCTACTTCATTGATACTGGTTGTTGATGGGGCCTACATTCCTCACCATGTGGGCCACTCCATAGAGCTATTTGTTCCCTCAAAACAAGTGATGCCAGAAAGAGACAAGGTGGAAGCCACAAGGTCTTATGACCCAGCCTTGGAAGTTGTACAGTCATCTCTACAGTTTCCAAGCAGATGAACTAGACAATGTGGAAGGGCTACTCAGGATGATGGGAAGTGAAGATCATTAGGGACCATCTTGGAGACTGGCTACCATAGGCAGTTAGGATGGAAAGATCCTTGAATGAGAACTGTTGAGTGGCCCAGGTTATAGTCCCAGCTCTTTGGGCAAGTCATTTACCCTTTCTGGGCTTCAGTTTCCCCTATATAAGCACTGTCCAATAGAAATATAATGTGAACCACCATGTGATTTAACTTTTCATATTAAAAAGAAAAATAAACAGATGACATGAATAACACTTTAATTAACCTGGGGATCCCTGGATGACTCAGTGGTTTAGTGCTGCCTTCGGCCCAGGTCATGATCCTGGAGTCCCAGGATCAAGTCACACATTGGGCTCCCTGCGTGACGCCTGCTTCTCCCTCTGTATCTCTGCCTCTCTCTCTGTGTCTCTCATGAATAAATAACTAAAATATTAAAAAAAACACTAACCTAATATAAAAATGTTTTACATTCCCTTTCTCCATACTATATACAGACATTCAGTGTGTATTTTCTACTTAAAGTACATCTCATTTTGGAGTTGTCACACTCCAGAAGTTCAGTTGCCACATATGGTTAGTGACTACCATATTGCAAAGTGCAGCTATAGGTAATACAGCATCTAAAGTCCTTTTGAGCTTACAGGGTCCTGTGGCCCCATTGGCTTCTTAGAAGAAAGGTGAGTCTTCCCACTTCTGAGGTTTGATATTGAACTCTGTGCACTGTTTATATCAGTTATTCAAGCTGAATTGGACTTTGGAGGTATATTCCTGTCTCCTCATTGTACAGAGATGAAACTAAGACTTGGGAAAAAACTTGCTCAAGGCACACAGTAAGGTAATCACAAAGCCAGGACTGAGTGCTAGCTATAAGCCCTGTTCTCATGCTCTTTTCCTGCTGTGTACAACTGACTTAGAGCACAGGACAGTATGTTTTAAAAATCACGGATACTTGGTCAATATTAGTTGATTGGTGGTTTGTCCACCCATAATTTACCCATATCCCTTCTAGGCCCTTTGTTTTCCCTCCATAGAGCTAACAGTGCTATTGTAGGAATGTAGGGGATGGATAAAATTGATCATTATTTTACAATATTACTGACAAGAAGGGAAATAATTATTCTAGGAAAAGTGTAGTTAGACTCTCATGGTTGGAAAGCTGTGCACAGTGCACAGCTGGTAGTGTTACTGCCATCTAGTACTCAACTATCCTCTCTGGCAACCCTAATAAGTTACCATACAGCCTGTTCTTGAATACCTCCAGAGACAGGAAAAAAACATTTACTCAGCACTTATTTTTAGTACCAGGGTTAGCCCTCTTAAATATATTCTCTCATTCAGCAGCCTGTCCCGTGCTTCTGGATCACTGGAAATCATCCTGCATGGTATAATAACTAAGTTACCTGACCTTCTTGAGTCTCCATTTCATTAGGCTGAAGGCTTGGCACAGAATAGGCAGCAGGAAATGTATAGTGGTTATTAATGTTGTTCACCAAATACTTTTTTGTTGTTGTTGTTCATCAAATACTTTAGGAAAAACTGTACTCTTGTGGCTCCCTTGTGGTTGGTTGGGGCCAAATGACTTGTTCCGATCAATGAGTTATGAATGGAGATGACATGCCACTTCTGAGCAAGAGCATTGAATTGCTGGTATCAGACCCCTTGGGGTTTCTCTTCCCCTCTGGAACAGTGACCAACAACGTTCAAATGGTGGCAGCTTTCTGAGAGACTACAATGAGCCCCTGGTGCTGCTGGACATGTGGTGGAGTTAAGCTACTGAGAGAGCTGAGAGAGTTTTTTCCTAAGAAATAAGGTGTGTCTGATCACACTGCCAAAGCTGGTTCTATGTGGCTTTCTGCTAGATTCACTGGAAGAACAAGATGCCAAACTAGTCACTGCACATCCTTACATTTAGCACTTATTCACCAAACACTCTTCACCTGGATACTCTTTATTTATGGGGAGAAGATTCTGCACAAACAAGAAGAGGCCTTCTGGAGATAAGAAAATCAGGGTGTTAAATATCCTTCTTCATATGCTCAGCTTCCTTCCTTGAGGAAGGGCCCCTGTGGGAAACCAGAGGTGGGCTCTGTCCAGGCAGGAAGACACTGGAACCCACAGCAATGGCCAGACTTGATTCCATGGACCTGGCCTCAGCTGAACTCTGGCCTTCTGCTCTATGTGGCTGGCTCTGCTGACCCACAGTCCACCTGTTGTTGGAGGCTTGGCTCTTCCAGGATGCCTGGTAATCCACCCTTCAGAGGCTACTGTGGAAGAGTGGAAAGACCCAGACTGGGAGTAAGAGACTGATTCTGCTTCTTACTAACCACATAGCCTCAAACAAATCACTGAGCCTCGTTGAGCCTTGGTTTTCTCATCCTTAAAACCACACTACCCAGCTTGCTGTGCTGCCAGAGGAATGGAGGAGATTGTCATTTTGTCTCATTCTGGGCCCCCAACTATTTCTCTGCCCACTGTCTCTTTCCCTCCTGGGCCTGCCCCTCCTTGGCCTATACCTCATTTATCAGTCCTCTGCCCTCCTTTTCTCTCTCCAGACCTAAACCCTAACTCATCACATTCATGCTCCAGATCCACACACCCACTGCCTCTTGGCCCTTTCCACTTGCATCTCCCACAAGTATTTCAAACTTGATTTATCTAAAACTGAATTCATTATCTTTCTCTCCAAAATTGGTCTTCACCCAGTGTTGCTTATCCTAGCAATACTTCTAGCATCCACCTAGTTGTTCAAGCCAGAAAACTAGAGATTTTCCTTAACTCTACTCCAGAATTCATGGATGACAGCAGCAGCAGCAGCCATCTTCCATCATGCAGCCTGGGAAACAGAGAAACAGAGAAATGTAGACTAAACCAAGAAGCCTGCCAAGGAGTAGGAGAGAAAAGACTATCTGTGTCTTTAGTACTTGATCATGAACAGACATATTTTATGTACTTGTAATTATTATGTGGATAATATTATGTATACTCTTTTAAACTAAACCTAATATTGCATACATTTTCCCACATTGTTACATAACCTTTATAATTATATTTTTGAATGTCTTAATTTTGTTTTTCTCTTAACACTTAGAATTTAAGATTTTTTTAGAAGTAGGTAATGCAAATTTAAAATGCTAGCATTGAAATGTAAGTCTTGCTCCTATTCTTTTCCTGTAAACTCAGTTCTTTTCCTGGAGGCCTAAGGGATGATAAATTCTTTTTTGTATGCTTCAGAAATATTTTATGCATATATAAATGGGCATGATTATATACACTTTTTTTCATATAGTACCATACCATACCCACACAGCACTTGCACTTTGGAGATTATTTCAGATCGGCATATAAAGAGCATCCTCATTTAAAAAACTGACTACAGAGTATTCCATTCAGTGGATTTCTTATGACTTATTTCGCTAGTACAGTATTGATTACATTTAGGTTATTCCTAATCCTTTGCTTTTACAAGCAAGGCTGCAGTGAAAATTCTTTTTATCTATTTATTTGTTCATGAGAGACACAGAGAGAGAGGCAGAGACACAAGGCACAGGGAGAAGCAGTCTCCACGCAGGGAGCCCGACGTGGGACTCTACCCCGGGGCTCTAGGATCAGGCCCTGGGCTGAAGGCAGCGCTAAACCACTGAGCCACCCAGGCAGCTCGAAAATTCTTGTGTGTGTGTGCGTGTGTGTGTGTTACAAATGTTGGCTGCATTTTTACAGTAATTTTTAGTTTTAGTAATTTTTAGTTTAGTAATTTTAATTTTACAGTGTTACAGAGGCTGCATTTTTAGAAGTAATTTTCTGAGTCAAAGGATATGTGCATTTTTATTTTAATAGATATTTGCCACATTGCCTTCCATAAAAGTTATACCAGTTTATATTCCCATCATAATGTACAAGGGAGGGACACCTGGGTGGCTGGGTGATTGAGTGTCTGCCTTTGGCTCAGGTCGTGATCCCGGGGTCCTGGAATAGAGTTCTGCATCAGGTGCCCCTCAGGTAGCCTGCTTCTCCCTCTGCCTATGTCTCTGCCTCTCTTTCTGTGTGTCTCATGAATAAATAAATAAAATATTTTTTTTAAAAAAAAAGAAAGAAAAGTGAAGCCTGATGCTTGATATGAGTTGACAAGTCAGCTTCATAGGTAGTGGTGTGTTCCTAAGACATGCAGTATCTGTTTTT